CCCCCCTGGGGAGAGGTGGACGAGGTGCAAATGGCTCGCAGGAAGAAGGGCCTGGCCATGTTTCTGTAAAGATGAGGCCAAGAGGACCCACAGCGCCGTCCTCCTCGGTGACCCGTGCGTGGGGTTGCCACGATGCAGAGTGGCCGCCAGGCAAGGGGGCTGGTTTGGTCTTGGAAAGGAGAGAGAGGCTCCGGAGAGGCAAAGCAGGGTGCTCCCCAACACAGCACGCCCTCTGGGGGTGACAGGAGCATGACGGAGGGGTGCAGGGTAGCTCCAGGGAGGCCAGGACCCAGGCCACAGTGACCCACGCATGCCGTTTCTGTTGTTTGAGTCCTTGTACATTGCTGTCCCCTGCAGTTTTCTTTCTGTCGATGACCGTTCACAGTACCAAGGGTTAAAATAGAAGCGAATGAACTGTGTAGGCTCCTTCTATCAGTTACTGCAGGGGAACGATGGGCCGTCTACTCCCGTACACAGTTACCCGCTCGGAAACCCACCGAGGTGGCTCTGCTGTCCTCTACGGTCGCGGTAGGCCAGCCTGGACCCGATGGCGGTGAGTTTGGGGTTATTTTGGTTTATTGGTTACTAGCTGTGGTGGCGTTGATTCTGACTCCCAGCCACCACATGCTTGTCCCAGGAGAGAGCTGTGCCCCCTGGGGTCTTCACTGGCTGATTTTTGGAAATAGACCCAGGGGCAGATGACTCGAGGAGAAAAAAAACATAGGAGAGCCCGCCCATCCCCACCCCAAAAGTGTGAAACTGTTCATCACAAGCTACTCCTCAAGCACACACAAGCCCGGGCGTCCTTTGCTTACTGGCCTGCATTCTGTAGGAAGGTGCCGTCGGGTTGGGAGAGGGGCAGGTGCAAACCAGACCCAGAAGCAGAAACTTTGATTTGGTGAAAGAGATGTGCAACTGTTCACTCCAGATAGTAAAGAAGGGCAAGTTAGCCCATGCTGCCCTTGCTTATTGGGTAATCCAACCCTGAGATCACCAGGCCTTTCTGCCAAGGACCTCTGGGTGAATTTGAACCTCCAACTTTTGGCTTGATCACCGAGTGCATTCACAGCTTGCACCACCCAGGGATGCAGACCCCTTCTCGGACAGCGGTTCTCAATCTGTAAGTTTTGACCCCGTTGGAGGTCAAACGACCCTTTCACAGGGGTTGCCCGATTCCTAACAGTAGCAAAATGACAGTGATGAAGTAGCAGTGAAAAAAATGTTACGGTTGGGGGGTCACCATAACATGAGGAACTGTGTTAAAGGGTCGCGGGACAAGGAAGGTTGAGAACCACCATGCTAGGAGCTGTTAATGCCCCTGGCTCGCCACCTGTACTTTAAGGCTAGGCACAGGGTGTTAACTGCTAATTGGAGCCTGACACTGGTCCACTCCCCTTCTTAGCAGCTAAGCCTTTTTCCTGGCTCCCAGATCTCCATGGCCTTAGGATTCTCCATCAGAGTGTCTGTTGGCTCCTTAAACCTAGTATGGTCCCGATTGAATTGCACACCCTCCCCAGCCTGGTACGGACAGCATCTCCCTGGACCCAGCTGTTGAAGGTTGGACACCGTCTCATCTCTGCCTCCTCCATGGGAGAAAAGCGTGCCCGCCTCCGCCTGGCCTGTGTAGGCCACTCTTCCCAAGCCTTGTTGAATTTTACTTTGGGCTGGCCCTCCATGCTGTTCCTTTGTCTCCTGTCCTGGTTCAGGATCAAGTCCTGCTTGGCCTCGGTCCCTTCATCATACCAACCACTTGGCCACAGTGATCTTTTTAAAAACCATGGCAAATTGCTTGCCACCCCCCACCCCGCAACCTCTGCCCATAAATACCTCCAGGTCAACCCTCCTTTGGTCTGAGTGTGCCTTTGAATTCTCTGGGATTTAGTAAAATGCAGGTCTGCAGATGCCAAACATCTGCGTTTCTAACCAGCTCCCTGAAGAGGCTAATGTTCTGGGCCCCGCAAATGCCGCGGAGAGCCACAAGGTGCACGAGATTGAGGCCAAGTTGCTCTGAACAGCACTCAGCTCTTTGTACGGGAGTAGAAAGCCTCTTCTGTCTCCGGAGGAGCAGCTGATGGTTTTGAGCATTCAGCGCTTTTTAGGAAGCGCTGGTGCTAAGCAGTGGCCTCCCCCTTACCTCCTGGGTGAGGCCTCACCGGGCAGGGGGCAATTGAAACACCAGGTGTTCATGGGATCCATCCTCTTAGCTTTAGGCCTTAGGGTCATGGTCTCGTGGGAACATCTAGTCACCTGTTGTATAGTTCTTAATGTGTATGTTCTGCTTCCTGGAACAGTGAGTCCTGTCTGGCGGCTTGAAAGTTAACGAGTGGCTATCTTCGATGGAACTATGAGTCTCCATTCATGTGGAAGGAGGGAAAGAAGGAGCCCTCATGAACCAGAGCAGGAAGCCTGGCGTTTTCCTCTACTGGAGACCAGAACTCGAGGGTGCTCAGCTACCATCCACCGATGCGCTGATGACACTGCGAGTCCTGATGGAAAGGGGAGAGCAGGGGCCACAGAACAGCAAGTTCTTAAAGAATCCAGACTGCCTGGGCCTCCTGAGGCAAGAGGAGACAGTGGCCCTGATCTACCCCTCAAACCTTGCCTTGGCATCACCCTCTGGAGTCACCTTTGAACAGCGGAAGGGCCGAGCGCAGAGTACAGAGGGAGCCCTTGAGCGCTGCGTTCTTTTTAAAAACAGGCAAGCCTGAATAAGACGACAAGGCCAATGGCTACCTTGAAGCAGACGTGAGAAGGCAGTGCGGACAGGGCCAGGAGTTTAATGGCAGTAAAACAACCAGGACAAAAATAGCAAGAACATCGCCACCCAGTGAAGCTGGTCAATGATGCCACTGGTCACCATGCCTGGAAGCTACGGAAGGGGAGTGGGGCTTGCTGTGTGTGTTTCACACACACACACACACACAACGTAAGCGTCATGAATGTGTGCAGGGGTGAGATGTGGGCCTGGCCTCCTGGGTTTGTGCCTCACGAAGCCTGGGACACATTCATCCTCCGATCTCCCTGTGGCCCGGGCTCCACGGCTCTGCAGATACGCTGACAGCACATGCCTGGTCAGGGTGTCTGGGCGATTGAATGAGTTCGTTGAAAAGACCCTTCCCTGATACAACGCTTCCTCTATTTGGAGTGCACCCTTAAGAAGGGCCTTTCCCCTTAGAGGTCCCACACCTGAGATAAAGGAAAGGGCAGTCCATGACAATGAGCACAGCCACGTTGGGGCGCACCCACCCTGGCCAGGCTCTGGGGTCTCAGCGGGCTCGTGTAGGCTCCAGCATCAGGGTCCTGGTAGGAGCCGGCCCTACAGTGCCTGGCCTCTCCTGTCGGGGTAGGTCCCTGACACTGGGCTTCCCTGTTGTGGTCACCGCATGGGCAGCAGCGACCCTGCGAGGCCTTGAGAAACAGTCCAGTGGCTCAGAGCTCAGAGCCTGGTCCACTAGTGCCCACCACTCCTGAGCCACAGGCCCTGGTACCCATGGCCACCCAGCAGGCCAAGAGAAGCTGAACCCTCAGATGGCAGGCCGTGAAGCCTCCTGCTGACTCAGAGCCACTGGCCAGTCTTCACGGGAGGGACAGAGAGCACCAGCCAGTGCCCCACCACAAACACCACACAGGCTCTCCTTATTTGTAAGAACAGCTGTAGAAAGGCCAGGCCAACGGCCCTGGGACTGAGGGCGTCCAAGGGAGGACTGGGGCCCCAGAGCCCTTGAACTCACCTTCTTCAGTTGCAAGGAGACTCCGGAGCCCGAAGATCTGGGCCACGAGAATGCCCACGGTGATGAAGACCTGGGGCACCACCCCGAGGGCCCCCCTCAGGTTCTTGGGGGCTAGCTCCCCTAAGTACATAGGGACCACGTTGGAAGACAGACCTGCGAGGGAGGTTCAAACAGAAGCATGATCGGGGATGGTGAATCTATCAGAATCTATCAGAACAACAATGTGTCTCTAAATTTAGCATCACCAAATTTGGTCCAGAACTTTCCCAAAACAACACAAGAGGAAGCAGGCATTTGTTAGCTTGTAGTTCTTTAAATTTGGGGAGTGTGTATGTGTGTGTGTGTAGGGGGGACAGGCCACAGGGGTTTATGAGCAGGCACTCTTGCTTCTTGACTGGTGTCCCCAGGGGAACCCAGGCGTTTCTCCTAACTGCTGCCCAAAGAAGCCCAGTCTTCACGCTTGCTCCTTGGGGAGACCCTGCTAATAAAAGCCAAGGATCCTTCCTACAGCTTTGCCTGCTGAGAAGAGCATTATTGTATGATGCCCCAGGCACAGGGCTGGTGCACACATTTAAGCACAAGCTGTAGATAGTTCTTCCAAGACACAAAACATGCAAATAGACATATCGTGGAGTCTCTGCATTTCCGGGATTTATATAATACCGTAAAACCCATTAGAAGCCTGAACCTGTATAAGGTGGAAACCTGTCAGGGAAGGAACATTCCCTTAGCTTCCACTACAAACCTGCGGCAGAAAGGTGGTATGATCGCATCAAGGAGCCCAGGCGGCTGTAGTGTTGGGCGCCTCCCTGCAAGGTCAGCCGTTTGAAACCACCAGCCCTCTCTGAGGGAGGGAGAGGGGACTTTCTCCTGCTGTAAAGAGTTACAGTCACGGACACCCCCAGGGGCTGGTCTGCCCTGTCCTCGAGGGCCGCTCTGAGTCCCCAAGGCCTTGAAGGCAGTGAGTTTGGCTGGTTGGTCCAAAGACGGAAAATATGGGAGACCTGGAAAAGCAAGGCGGTCCAGCTGTGTTCCAGCCCGGGCGCGTCTCACTGTACTTGTGCACCACTGACTCCATCTGACTCATAGCAGCTCCTGCCAAACAGGACGACTGTCCACAGCGTTCCCTAGGCTGCCATCCAGGCCAGCGGGCAGCCAGGACTGTCTCCCACTGAGCCGCAGGTGGGTTCAAACCACTGACCTTTCTGTTTAGCAGCCGAGAACCTCACCACTGCACCACCAAGCTGTCCTCAGTATACATCTAGTACATCTGGAACCCCATAGCTAAACATGCAAGGTTTCCCATCCCTTAGAATTAAGTGGAACATAACTGTACAGATCTCCAAGTGTTTGCATACCCGATACCCCATTTAATCCCCCCAGAGGCTCAGTAAGAGGCCGGAACCCCCCAAGACAGCTCAGAGGAAGATCCGACTCTTAGTCAACGCAAGTTCAGAAAGATGGGGGGTCTGCTGTGGACTGAATCGTGCCTGTCCCTCACCCACATACGGATTGACATGCTGGCTTCTGTACCTGTGGACGGACAAGTGGTGGTTGTCTGTTCACAGGGAGAGGAGTCAGCATCCAGATGCAGCCAGAGAGCTCCTTGAGACAAGTCTGGGGAGACTTCGTCTGTCTTACTTTGGACGTGTGGTCAGGAGAGACCAGTCCCTGGAGAAGGACGTCGTGCTTTGTTCTGCTGTGCATAGGGCCGCTATGGGTCCGAAGTGACTCATTGGCACCTAACAACAACAACATACCTATGGAGGGGAGCCCTGATGGTGTGGTGGTTTCTGAGTTTGGCTGCTAACTTCAAGGTCAGCAGTTCGAAACCGCCAGCTCTTCTGTGGGAGAAAGAGGAGGGTGTCTACTCCAGTGACGAGTTCCAGTCTTGGAATCCCACAGGGGCAGTTCTACTTGTCAGAATCCACTCAGTGGCAGTGGGTTTGGTTTCTGGTTTGGAAAAAGGGCCCTAGTGGTGTCGTGAGCCAGCAGTTCTGCTGCAATGGTGGCTCCTTGGGAGAAAGAGGATTTTTTCTGCTCCTATAAAGATTTAGAGCATTGGGAATCTGTCCTACAGGGGGAATGAACTCAATGGCAGTGAGTGGGGCTCAAGTCCACCCAGAGGCACTTTGGAAGAAAGGCTTGGCAATCTACATCCATGGAAAGCCCTGAGTTGACCCTAAAGGCCTTCCGAGGCTGTAATCTTTATGGAACTGAAGCGCCACCCCTTTCTCCCATTCTGCTGTTGGTGGGTTGGAACCACCAGTCTTTGGGTTCACAGCTAGTGGAAGCAATCTCTATTCTGTCTTAAAAAGACTTTCACGACCCATAGCACTACAGGGAGACAGCACTGGAGACACTGGGCGGAAGTGGACCTAGTCTGCCCCACGCACGGTGGGGCGAAGTGTGGAGTGAGTGCAACAGGGCAGCCAGGGGAGTAACGTCCCCAAGTCCCCAAGGAGTCCTGAAATGAGACTTCTGACTCGGGGGACAGGGCTTGGCACCTCATCAGACCCGATTGGAAAATACTCACACGGTTCATCAGACAGAACTCAACTATCTTTTTTTTTTCTTCTTTTGCTCTATGTCAGCAGTTCTCAACCTGTGGTTCGTGACCCCTTTGGGAATACAACGACCCTTTCACAGGGGTCGCCTGATTTATAACAGTAGCAAAATGACAGTAATGAAGTAGCAGTGAAAATAATTTTATGGTTGGGGGGTCACCACAACATGAGGAACTAGGCATTAGGAAGGTTGAGAACCACTGCTCTATGTCTATCTATATACGAAAGGCAAGACAAACAATACTGAGGAGAAAACAACAGACCGGTGGTCCCAGGGGGTGGGGGTGGGGGATGGAGGGGGCAGGTTGGGGGAGTGGGGAGCCAACAAACTCAGGGATAAGGGAACAACAAGAGATCTAAAATTGATGGCGAGGAGGGCATACAATGCTGGTAGGGTTTGATCAAGTGCAATGTATCCGAGAGGAGTTACTGAGAGCTGAATGGAGGGTGAGCATGATAGTGGGATAGGAGGAAGGTGGAGGGAAATAGAGGAAAGAAGTAGGAGTCATAGCTATAGGTATGCATATATGTAAATATATTAATTTATAATGAAAGGTATAGAGGCCAACGTACATATATTTATATGTTAAGTATTAAGATAGCAGACGGACTTTGGGCCTCTACTCAAGGCCTCCCTGAACACAGAACATTTTGCTCTAATAACCTAGCTCTCTTTGATATCTTCCCAACACATCCGCTGAAGACAAAATGGGTGCCTAAGCAAATGTGGTGAAGAAAGTGGATGGTGCCTGGTTATCTAAAGATATAGTATCTGGGGTCTTAAAAGCTTGAAGTTAAGCAAGCAGCCATCTAGCAGGGAAGCAAATAACCCCACATGGAAGAAGCACACCAGACTCTGTGATCATGAGGTATTGATGGGATCAGGTATCAGGTATCAAAAAATCCAAAACAAATGATTATATCAATGCAAAAGAGAGGGGTCAAAATGGAGACCCAAAGCCCATCTGTAGACAATTGGACATCCCCCCACAGAAGGGTTATAAGGAAGGGACGATTCAACCAGGGTGCAGATAGCATTGATGAAACACACATCATTCCTCTAGTTCCTGAATGCTTCCTCTCCCCCACCCCCACTACCAAGACCCAGTTCTGCCTTACAAATCTGGCTAGACTGGAGTACGCACATTGGTTCAGATAAGAGCTCTTGACACATGGAATTCAGGATAGATAAAACCCTCAGGAACTCTTGCCCCACTATCATGACCCCAGTTCTACTCTACAAATCCGGCTAGACCAAAGCATGTACACTGGTGCAGATAAGAGCTCACAACACAGGGAATCCAGGACAGATAAACCCCTTAGCACCAATAACGAGAGTACCAGGAGGGGAAGGAGGAGGTGTGGGGAGAAAGGGGGAACCAATCACAATGATCTACATATAACCCCTGTGGTAGTTACATAATCTGGTATCAATTTGGGACTTAAGAGTGAATTTGGGAATAAGAGTGAAGAGGTGGAGTCGACTCTGTCAATTGGGTCATAGCCAATGAGGTTTCTGTGTGGGCATGGCCTCCCCCTAAGGATTCTGGGAATTCCAGTATTTCCTCCTTGGAGATGGGAGACACTCTCTTTCTGCTCACTTCCTGCAAGACATCCCTGAGGAGAAGCCACATGCACCTTCCCTGATGCAGCCCTGGGTGCTGGAGGAGCCACATGAGACCCCTGCCAGCGCTGAGATGCTGACAACGCCACTGGATCCAAAGACTTTCTACCCACTGGCCTGTGATCGTCCTGCACTGGGCATCATTGTATGTGTTTCATGAGTCTGAAGAGGACTTTATAGATTGGTATCGGACATATGAGCTAATATCAGACTTATGGGCTTGGATTGGACTGGGTTGGGATGCTTTCTTAAAATACAATTACCCTTTATATAAAACTCTCTTTTATACATATATGCGTTTCTATGGATTTGTTTCTCTAGTCTACCAGGACTAACACAACCCCCTCCCAGGGGGACAGACAACAGAAAAGTGGGTGATGGGAGACAGTGATCAGTGTAAGACATGAAAAAAAAAATTAATAAATTATCAAGGGGTTCATGAGGGAGGGAGGGTGGAGGAGGGAGGAAAAAAATGAGGAGTTGATACCAAGGACTCAAGTAGAAACAAAATGTTTTGAAAATGATGGCAACATATGTACAAATGTGCTTGACACAATGGGTGTGTGTATGGATTGTGATAAGAGCCTGCAATAAACTGATTAAAAAGGGGGGGGGAAGAAAGCTAACAGAAAATAATAAAAACTAGAACAAAAAAAACAAAAACCCTCAGGAACAGTAGGAGGAGTATCGATATCATGAGGGTAGAGTGATGGGGGGTGGGGAGAAAGGGGGCACCAATGACCACGCCCTAACTGACTGAACCACTGGAGATATGGTGAGTTAGGTCTCAGTAAACTGGGGAGGGGAGGGGAGGGGAGGAGAGGGGCCAGGACAGTGCAGGTGCTGAGCAAAGCAGCTTTTGAGGCTGAAATTCCTTCCAGCCATGAAAGTGCTCAGTGTTCTTGTCTTTGCCAAGAAATTAACGATGAACGAATCAGCAAACTATGGGCCTCTTGAGGTCCACCCCAGAACACCATCTTTATGTAAGCGGATCACCAGACCTTTCTTCTGCAGCACTGCTGGGTAGGTTCCGTCCATCAACCTTTCCCTTAGTAGCTGAGCCCTAACCAGTTGTGCCTCGGGAAGTCCAGGTGGTCTTTATCTTGGTCAGAGTAGGTGTTTACTCCCCGGTTGGAGCGAACCGTGTGGTTCGGGTGTCTTGACCGAGTTTCTAATTGACACGGAGCTCCATGACCCACTCCGCTGACTCCCAGCAGCACAGGAAAGATTTAACAGTGAATAGACTACACCACCCCGTGTTCGTGTTCTCTGAGCACCTCCTCAGGGGATGCTGGGCGGAGCTGGTTTCCAGAATAGCACTGAGCCAGGTGGGAGTCATCCTTTTCACCGTTGCTCTCTCCTTAGCAAACAGTGGAGATTTCCAGAGGTGACGTGACGTGTAGGGTCCCCTGAGTGGTGCCAGGGGGACAGCACTGATGGCGAACCAAATGGTTCGCAGTTGGAGGCACGTGGAATCTGCAGTCTGCTTCCAGGAGGCCCCGGTCTTGAAAGCCCAGTGGAGGTGCTTCTACTCTGCCGGCCTAGAGTGGCCATGAGCCGGGAGAAGCAGCGATGTGACAGGTGCTGCCACAGCAGGCTGGGTGCTGGAGCAGGCTGACTCCAGCTGTCTTCTGCTAAGCTAGATGGGCAACATGGGACAATAATGCCATTCTGCCTGCTACTTTTTAGTTTTCAGAAAATATAATTTTTACACAAATAGGTATTGAGTTCATAATTGTTATTTTTAAATGAATTTATGCCCGCCCCCGAATCTAAGCCAGTAAGTACTGAGAGAGAATCCACAGAGGCAAGAGCTATTTGGGGTCCTCAATCATTTTGAGGTTGTAGAGTGGCCCATGGAGCCCTGGTGGGGCAGCGGGTTACACCGAGCTGCTGACTGCCTGGCTGTCCCCTCCCGGGAAGAGCGACAGTCTCGGAAACCCACGGGGGCAGGATGGCTCCGTCTTAGGAAGTGGTCTGAGTCAGATTCCACCTGATGGCAGTGAGGTTCAGGGATTTTCCAGTTTGTTTTCATTTTTAAGAAGTTCTTACCTGTTGGGCTGCTAACTGCAAGGTCAGCGGTTCGAAACCACCAGTCACTCCATGGGAGAAAGGTGACGGGGTAGCCGGATGTCTGGGTGCACTCAAGGAAGGCTGTGGAGTCTGCCCGGTTTGCCACGGGACCCACCACTTCCCCTGGGAAGGACACTTGCTCTCTCCTTTTCCTCCCCAGCCTGCAACTCTTCAGTCGTTTCCCTTGGTCGGGCTTTTTGGACTCCTCTACTCTGGAGAATATTCCAGAACAAGGAAGGTACTTTGAAGCCTGAGGTGCATCTAACCGAGCCATGGGATTCTCCATGGCATCATATGATGTGAAGGTTGGACATTGAATAAGGAAGCCCGTAGAAGAATCAACGCCTTAAACTGTGGTGCTGGGGAAGAAGATGGAAAGTACCAGGGACTGCCGAAAGGACAAACCAATCTGTGTTGGAAGAAGTAAGGCCAGGGTGCAAGGAAGGCAAGACTTGGTCTTACACATTTGGACAGGTTGTCAGGAGAGACCAGTCCCTGGAGAAGGACATCATGTTTGGTCAAGTGGAGGGTCAGCAACAAAGAGGAAGGCCCTCAACGAGATAGATGGGCACATTGGCTGCATCAATGGCTCAGGCGTGGGGACAATGGTGAGGCGGGACCGAACCGGGCAGTGTTTCGTTCTGTTGTACACAGGGTCGCTATGGGTTGCAGCCGATTCCATGACATCTAACAACGACTACTACTCTGGTCAGTCATCTCTAGCTGAGGGTGCTAATCTCAGGCTATACCATCCCCTGTCTTCAAAAGAAAACCGGTCACGTGGCAAGCCCAGGGCCAGAGCTAAGCCCAGGGAGGAAATGGCCCAGAGGCCTCCCTCTCCGAGGCCCAACCTCCACTTACACAGCCCCGAGAGCGAGCACCTCCTAAACTTGACCTGGCTCTCCTCTCCCTGGCGTGCCTCTGAGAGTGACTCCTGGCAAAAGGACGCCACCTGAGGGCAGGGGACAAAGGACACAGCACAGCGATAAGCAG